CGACAGAACATTGCTAGAGAGCAGGAAAGGAGGTGAAAGGAGACAATTTTAGAGAAGAAAAGTTTTTGGTCACTACAAGACTTAAAAAACGAAGCCTATGTCTGCCTTCGAATTCGGTAGTTTTACTTTCGAAACAAGACACACACACACACACACACACACACACACACACACACACAGGCACGCACGTTGACTATTTTACCCCTCGCGAGTCCGTCCTCTCTCCCTGTCGGCGAATTCCCAGAGCTACTGGTCTCATTTACAGATTCGTTATAAGCCACAAGTTGGCGGGGAACTACTCGTATAGGTGGCACTGTGCTACTCGCAGTCTCTCAATTGAGGGTCACTGCTGGTCAATTGACCAACGGGCCAGTACTTTCCAGACGTCTGCCTTGAAAACCCTGACAGCATCTGTAGATGAAGAAGATGACATTGGTCAGTTTTTAGTGGACAACAGAGTTGCCTTTTGGCTGGTCTGTGGGTGGTTGGCGGGTGCTCTGGTGTGGTTTGCTCCTTCTTTCCTATCAATCGTCTAATCTTCGGCACTTATATGATCTTATTGTGCTGCAAGTGACGTAAAACTCCTGCTAACACTAAAAGTTTGGCTGGTCTGTTAAACACGACCAGCTTGGGTCTGACTACTGACATCTGTGATGTTGCGACCAAGCACTTTGTTGTTGCGCAGAGGAGATTCAAGATCGATTCCTGAGTGGGGGAGGGGGGAGGGGGGAATTTTTGTCAAGTATCCCAAACTTTCTGCTGGGATCTTGTATTCGTTGTATCCTTGGTTGACCCTGGCTGGCAGGGCTCAAAGTCCACGTCCTAAAGAGATGCGCAAAATTTTTTTAAGAGCCAGTTGTAATGTTTGGCTTCAATTGGTGAAGGAATGGAGGGATTGTGTATTGACTATAATTGGGTTTTAAATATCTATTAAACAAGTTGAGGTGAGACAAAAAGCATGTTTGGGATACCTTAAATCCATCCCAGAATTCTTTACTCCAGAGAGAGAAAACCCAATTTAATATTTGAAAATAGAAAAACAATATCACAAAACAACAAAAAGGTAACTTAGACGAAACTCCCTTTCTAAACAAAGTTCCCCCACCGCCATCCCTCTTTGTGAGGTATTCTGTGTGCTCAGTGCCCCTCTTCCTTCGGCCACCTCCATATAAATATTTGTCACCGACTAGATCTGTCGCCTGTCTTATTTCCTAGCGAAGCATGATATCCGTTGTTATTGTTCCTGAATTGTATTGAAAAAAGACAAGAATAGTAATGGAAAAATACAGAAATGGACAAGAGTACACTGACAACAGAGAACAAGTCCAATTTCTTCATGCTATCCCCCTAGGGTATGGTATAATTACCTCCTTCATTACATCTAAACGCTGTTTTTGCTTGAAATCAATGCCCAGGAAAGGAATGTTATCCGTAATGGTTGTCTAGGGAAATAAATCAACGAGTCGATGGTGCTGGATAAACTGAGAGCCAGTAGTTTTTTACCTTTCAATTTGATTTGATGTGTATAAAGTTGAATTTTTGTGGGGCCCCCCCCCCCCCCCCATTAAAAAAAAAGATAAGAGAAATACAGAAAAATAATAAGAAAAACAACCCACAATAACAAAAAGAGCAAAACCCCTTCAAGGACAACATGATATTATCTTTATTGTCATACACACCCAACATAAGCACACACAAACACCATCCAAGAACCAAATAGCTTTTTTTCCCCTTTACATTTTTATCTTGAGGGTATATTCTTGCTGTCTGTCTATTTCCTTCCGTTTTCTTACTGGTACCCAGGTTCAATAATGGTCCTTATTAAATTCAGTGTTTCAGCGTTTCTCCCCCTGTTTTGAGAGGTATTACAGAAAGTATTCTACCTCTCTGTGCTATTGTCATATGTACTTATTCACAAATTTGAAACTACATTTTATATGCCTGTCCTGAAGGAATTTGTTAGGTTTGTCTCTTTATGCCCAGGCTCAAGGAGTTGTTGACGTTTGGGTTCTCACGCTAACCGCTGCAAAAGAAGCATTCAATTACTTGCTAAGAGCCACTCTCATACAAAATCTCTTTCTCTCCCTCCCCCCTCTCTCTCTCTCTCTCTCTCTCT